CAGGCCTTTGCACTTATGACAAGGGAGCTGGGACGTGTGATGTCCTACCTGGTTCAGGCTCGCAGACAGGTCTGGCTGGCTCAGTCCATGTTTACTGAGACATGCTGTAGGACCCTCCGTAATGTTCCTGTGGTGCCAGGGGAGTTGTTTGGTTCTGCGGCAGTGGAAGCCTTGGAACATGCTGTCCAGGTGCAACAGACTAGACAGCAGCTTTCAGGCCTTAACAGGAGTGTTTCTCCATCTCCTTGTAGCCTGAGGCGTCCATCAGCTGGCCCCAATCCTCGGCCACCACCTCGGGGTTTCGATCGACCTGTAGGTCCTTATCCTCGTGCTGCGCAACGGAGACCCAGCAGAGACTTTCATGAGCCAGCTTCCCAGCCAACCAGACGAGCCCAGGCCACAGCTTTTGGTCGTTACCCCCCCCCCCCCCCAGGCCCCCTAGGGGCCATGGGGAGAGGAAATGACACCAGGCCGGCCGTCAAATGCTTTTCTCATCAGCAACTCAGTTGTTGGACTGCTCAAACCGTGGACCCATGGGTGGTTGCCACTCTGACCCATGGTTACCCGTTACAATTCTGACAGCGGCCTCACATATCACACCGGGTAAGAGACTGTCATCACCGACCTGGTGAAAGCTCATGCCCTGGACCAGGAGCTTTCCACCCTCCTGGCCAAGGGTGTGATCTAGGAGGTGGATCCTCTGCAGCAACCCAGAGGTTTTTATTCAACATATTTTCTTGTGCCGAAGAAGATGGGCGGATTTCGTGCCATTCTGGACCTCAGGGGTCTCGATCAGTATTTAAAGGCCCTGCCCTTTCACATGCTCACCACGGCAGAGGTCCTGCAGGCTATTGCAAGGGGAGAGTGGTTCACATCAGTAGACCTGACAGATGCGTACTTCCATGTACCCATTGCGCCAGAACATTGCCACTTTCTCAGGTTTGCATATCGGGGTCACCACTGGCAGTTCCGGGTTCTCCCATTCGGCCTCTTGCTTTCCCCGAGGGTCTTCAGTCCGTRTGTGAAGGCAGCTCTCTCCCCTCTGCAGGCTTGTGGAGTGAAGGTTCTCCCATACCTCGACGATTGGCTTCTCTGCGCCCCATCTTGAGCTTGTGTGTCTCGCAATACAAGTCGCCTGCTTGCCCACGTGTCCTAGTTAGGCCTCAAGGTCAACTTAGCAAAGAGCTGCCTGATTCCATCACGGGCAACAACTTTTCTTGGGGTGTTCTTGGACTCACCCTCCGTGACAGCCTACCCATCTGTTCAGAGGGTGGATGATGTTCTCCGGCACAGCAGTCAATTCAGGCTGGGCAGGTGGCTTCCTTACATTACCTTCCTGCAGCTGCTAGGCAAACTGACCTCACGCACCCGGGTCATGCCCTTAGGTCTGCTGTCACTGCGCCAATTTCAAATGTGGCTTAATGGTTTTCATGTGGATGCCAGGCTTCACAAGCATCGCAAAATTGTGGTGACGAGATCTTTTCTGCGTACACTGGACCCATGGAGGGACAGAGCTTATTTGTCCAAAGGTGTCCCTATGGGGATGGTTGTGTGTCGCAGGGAGGTGGTTGCGACAGACGCCAGCTCCATGGGATGGGGGGCTGTGTGGCAGCACAGAGCGGTTCAGGGCTGCTGGAGTCACCAGGATCTCTCCAGACACATAAATGTGCTGGAGCTACGTGCTGTTTCTAGCTCTCAGGCACTTCTTGCCCCACCTGGAGGGGAAACATGTCCTGGTTCGATCGGACAACACCTCTGTGGTCTACCACATCAACCATCAGGGTGGCACCAGGTCGGCACAGCTCCTGAAGGTGGCCAGGGAACTCCTGAGATGGGCCTCGAAGAGACACGCATGAGCTGCTGAGCTGCGGAGTTCTCAAGGAGCCTAATCAACTAAGGAATAATGTACTGGAAAGCTTGGTTCCCAGGTAAATATACTGTATAATTTAATACGTTTAAGGCATTTATAATCTATAACGTCATAACTGTTAATTGACTTTTCATTATAACAAACTGGACGGAGAAACTGTGGAGAGCCTAGAGTTTTTCGTCGAAGAGTGTTTAGAAAAAATAGACATGGGCAAACCGAAACATACATCTGGCAGCGCAGCTAGCATGTCAGTTAGCACGCCAACATCAAAGAGGAAATGCTCGGCAAGCTCCGACGATWTTTCAAATATTTCTCCAGAAACTACAGGCTTTAAGGACATACTGGAGTCAATCGATCAAAAGCTAAGCAGTTTAGATAGCCGGCTAGCTTTAGTGGAGGTGCTGCATAAAGAATTCCAGGCTCTGAAGGTATCACTGGACTTTAGCCAGGAGCAAGTAGCTATGCTAGTTAGCGAGAACACCTAGTTGAAAGGAAAATTGTCTCAGCTCACTGAGGGGATGTCACAGCTGTCTAGAGATAATAAAAAGGTGAAGGAAACCATCTTGGACATCCATGCCAGAAGATGAGGGACAACCTCGTATTCTCCGGCATCCCCGAGAAAGTTAATGAGGACCCAGAGGCTACAGTCCGGAGTTTCATTCAGAACCAGCTGAAACTCTCCAGTGAGACAGTAAACATCACCTTCGACCGTGTACATCAGATGGGAGGTAAGAGACATGACAGCAAATGACCACGGGCTATTGTTGCAAAATTTGAGCATTTAAAACAGAAGGAGCAGGTCATTAACTGTGGGAGGGAGCTACGTGGTACTAGGTTTAGTGTTAACCATCAGTTCCCTAAAGTATACATCGATTGCCGTCGTGTTTTGTTTCCCATCAGAAAAAAACATTTAGCTGAAGGCTGCAGAGCTACAATAACAATAAACTGTATATTAAAGAGTAACTTACCCCAAAATTAACTTTTTTTAGCTGATAAACTCTAGAATGTGTCTAAAATGTAATATAGTACTGTTTCTGTGCTAATTTTGATGTTTTTGTGCGTATTTGTTCAAATCTGTAATATTTGGTCTAAAAACGTCTTTTTGCTGCTCATATGGGTAGAGCAGTGGTACGGCAGGCTAATTTGCATATTGGTTAACGGTTCTCCACGGTGATATGTCTTCTGCACGGTTTCGTCACAGCGGCTGTGTTCTGGTATAAAAGCCTCTCTCTAAGACACGCCCCTGCAGCAGTCAGAGGGTAGAACAGTTAGCAAGCTTAGCATGATCGTCTGTTGACCTTCAGCCTCGGGTGGGGAGAGCTGACTGCTGCGCTTTTCTCCCCCCCCCCTCCCGCACACACACACACACACACACACACACACACACACACACA